GCCGCTATTGCTCGAGCTCACACAGAAGCCGGACAGCTATGCGACACGCCGTCCCCGTGCTGAGCGCTCCGGGGCATGCGAGCCAACTCCGCGCTGATAAAAAAAACCTAATCACTGTAGCGCACGCGTGGCGGGACTAGAGCGCTCGGGCGCCGCCTCCCACTTCGTCCCTTTTTTTTTTTTTTTTTTTTTTTTCCCCTTTTTTTTGTCCGCTTCACATGGACGTTAGGGATGCTTGCGCGGGGTAGTCCCAGCCTCGTCACGGGTTGGCGTACCGGTCGGCCGAGGCTCGGGCTCTATAGCTGGGCCAGGTACTGGTGGTTTAAAATTCCTTTTCTTCCTTTTCTTACAGTGCCGCACGGGTCCAAATAGGCCATGACTCGTGTGCTAGTGGAACCGTGCCCTTGGTGAGCAGCGGAGCGGGGCCCTATAACTGTTTTTTTTTTTTTTTTTTTTTTCTCATCTGGCACATTTGGTGAGCAGTGCAGCGGGGCCCTAGAACAGAGCTTTTTTTTTTTTTTTCTCATCTGTTGCTTTATGGGAGCGAAAAAAAAAGAAGAGGAAAGGAAAACATTTGTGAGGGATCGGTCGGCGTAGGTGTTACTTACTACTACTACCGTCCTAACGGAAAATGGCGGGAACGCAACAGTATGGAGAAGAACTGAAAATGGCGGGAACGCAACAGTAAGGCGAATGGCGGGAACGTGGAGATGGCCGAGGAAAGGCAAGCGGAGAGCATGGCAAGCGGTGTCTTGACTGTGGGCCTGCCTCGCTGCGCCACTCTCCAAATGTGCAAAATGAGACTGAATCCACCTCTAGAACATGGAAAGATACATTGCCATATTTTTTGTCTTTTACGCATGTGGAGAGTAGTGCAGCGACGCCCTGTGTGTCCGCGGGAGTGAAGGAACGTCGAGGGAGGAGGCAATTGGCTTACGGGCGAGTGAGAGGGCATACGCACACTGCTGCTGTAACACTTCGCTAACTCTATCGGACCGCATTTACGGCCCAACCTGGATGTATCTGACTCCAATCACGTCCAGGGTTCTGTCGGAACAGTCCTGGTTTCTGTGTCCTGAGCAGCCCCCATAGCCGAACGATAGAAGGTGGTGTGACCACGTGGCTGGACAGCCTTTCTTCTTCTTCTTCGTCTTCGTCTTCGGTACATTCTTGGCGCTGATCTGTGGGAGTGCGTGGACCTTCTCCTTCTCTTTCCTGGTACTTGGCTGCTAATCATCAAGATCGGCTCTGCTTCTGCCACGTGTCGTTGTCAGCTTCTTCTTCATCATCTTGTTTTTTTTTTTTTTTCAAGCGAGTGGTACACACACACACAAAAAAAAAAAAAAAAAAAAAAGAACTGTAAAACGAAGCTATAGGCATAGGCATAATTTAATTTAAAACGAGTTTAATTTAAAAATTTGTTATATTCTATAGCTTGCCTAAAGGCATATAGGGTTCAGCCTCCTGATGAGTTGGTGATACTCCGACAAAAGTCTGTCACAGACCATATATGGCATATAGGGTTTACCTGGCAGCTCTGTTTGACTATATACGTATATAGTCCCCTCTTCTCCCTCTCTGCCTACGGCTCACCGCACCGTTCTCGGTGACGCCTATATATATTGTCACATGATATCAGAGCGCCTAAGCGAAAAAACCAAAAAAACAAAAAAATCTTAAATTCGTTTTTAATCTTCTTCCTTACAACTCCCCCTGTTCAGAACCTCTTGCGTACAAGGCCGCCCACGTGGATGTAGGTTGAG